CCCCAAAACCCCAAAACCCCAAAACCCCAAAACCCCAAAACCCCTGCGAATGATTGTATGAAAATTGAAATCGATTACTTATTAAATATATAAAGAGGCTTTAAGATCTTTATTATATTATTTAGTAGAACAAAGTCTAGCACAAATATGGACAGCAGCAGCGGAAAGCATCAACTAGAATACAAAGGCTATATGAAAGGTATGAAGAATCAAAGTTTTATTTCTTTAGGCCACAATGGTTGGGTTACAAGCATGCAAGTCGGAGAAGTCACCGAAGGAGACCAAACCAAAGAGTTCCTCATCTCAGGAGCTAGAGATAGATCCATAATGATTTGGGATATCTAAGAGAAGAGTCAAACCGACTCAGACAAAGAATGGGGAGTCCCAAAGAAAGTCTTGAAGGGTATGAAATTTCCAAAAATTCTAATCTTTTTTTAGGACACTCTCATTTCATCAGTGATCTTACCCTCTCACAAGACAGCAGATATTGCTTGACTTCATCATGGGACGGAACCCTCAGACTCTGGGACCTCAGAAAGGGATAAACCATCAAGAGATTCGTTGGTCACTCAAGAGACGTCCTTGCTGTTGCCTTCTCCCCAGATAACAGACAAATCGCCAGTGGTGGAAGAGACAAGAACCTCAAGATCTGGAACACCGTTGGAGAGTGCAAATTCACCGTTGAGCAGAATGCTCACACTGACTGGGTCTCCTGCGTTAAATTCTACCAAGACACCAAGAACCCCATCGTAGTAAGCGCTTCATGGGACAAGACCATTAAAGTGTGGGACAACCAAACCATGACTCTTAAGCACACCTTTGTTGGCCACAAATCTCAAATTAACACCTTAGATATGGCCCCCAACGCCTCTTACCTCGCCTCAGGTGGAAAAGACGGTATTGCCATCATCTGGAACCTCGTTGAGGGTAAATTCCTAGGACAAAAAGAAGTTGACTGCCCCATCAACTGCGTTCTCTTCGCCCCAAAGAACTACTGGCTCGTCTTAGGTACCGATCACGGTATCAAGGTTTGGGATCTCCCATCCAAAGAATTCGTTGTTGACATCAAGGCCTCACCAATCGATGCTGACAAGCAAAAGCAAAATGCTCCAATTAGCTGCACCAGCTTGGCATGGAACAAGAGTGGAAACCTTCTTTTCGCTGGTTTCAATGACAACTACATTAGGGTCTACAAGATCGTTGCCGAGAAATGAGGAGAATATCTTGTTTGATTTCGCATAGATCCTTTCTTTCTTAAAAATTCATACTCAATCCTTTTATATTATTAATTTGAATTTCCCTCGAAATATGAGTACTTTCAGTCTTCGATCTGTGTATATTCTCTAACTAGTCAGCCTGTGAGATTGTCGTACTATATATATGCCGCCTCCTATGAGATTTGCTTTGTTTCTTCAAACCATCATTGGTTGCCTCTTAAAATCAAAGTCATTTCAGTATGTCTTAGCCATGATTGTATATTATTATAATTGATCCCTCAAGCCTCAGCTGCTTTTATCAATAAGTCTAACTTAAATTGTCTAGCACAAAACACCTTTATCACTCATTGTATTAACTGTGATACTCTTTTTCCCATGTATTATTTAATTATGATATATATGTAAATATCATTTATTTTCTTTTAAATTAAATATGAAAATTAACAGCAAGCCTATGAAATCTTAATTTCCTACTAATACAAGAAGCACCCACAATAGAAATTCCTAATATTGTATTTAATCCAATACGACATAAAGATCTGCATAGAGTAACTCCATTCAGATATATAGTACTGCAATTAAAAAGCCTATGGTAACAGGAGATCTCGATATTTTAAATAGTGAAAATGAGAATACATTAAATATTTCAGAAAATAGAAAAGATTTATAGCAACTTATCTAAAAAGAAGTGGCCTATCATCTTTACTCTTTGGATGTAATTAAGCGAATTGAATAAATTGAAAAAGATCATAAAGCTCTCTTTAGCAAGTATGAAAATTTAAAATTAGACCATAAATAACTTGTTGAACAGATTAATTAGTAAAATTTGAATTAAAAAATGCTGCTTTAAACAGATTCCTTAGCCAATACATTGAATAAAGAATTTAATGGCTATTCCTATAATAACAAGTCAACAAAATCAACAACCTCTGATTATATGTAGATTAATAAAAATTTATGTGAGAAAGTCTATGGAGCATTCAGCTAGAATTAGATAGCTAATACTTTTAGAACTCTAGTCCAGAGTAACAGTCATTTAACGGATTTCCCGAATCTATAAGACGCACAGAAATTGGAAAATATCAATGACTGCATAAAAAATTCACAAAGTCCATTTAATGACAGGATAAGAAAATCAAGAGAATAGAAAATAATCAGTTATTAGCAGACTAAAAATTCAGTAGATTTAAACAAATAGTAATCTCGAAAAAATACAATTAACTAAAGTCTGAGCTAGAATAATTTTGGCGAGGGAATGATGTTTAGAAGTTTATAAACATTTTCTGCGCTAAGCAATAACAGCTGCTAGATTGATTCAAAGTTTTAAAGCAAAGTAGGAAATACCTAAGTAGCAGCTAAAAAAAGCCCTATCATTTAAAAAGACCAAGCGGTTATTAAAAACTAGAAAATTGTAAGCAGAGATACTAGCTATAATCCAACAAAACCCACTTTTTCAAATCAAATAGCCTTTAAAAAAGACTCCTAAAGATAAAATAAGTAGAGAATTTTATCAATGAATACAAATACATTGGGGTAGATTTGCAAAGAGCTTAAGAAAGATAAAGTTGAGAAGGATGTATGCTAATCACTTGCAAAATACTAGATGAATGCTCTTAAACATTCTGCAGGTGTATAATAATAAAATATTAATAAAACTAACAATAGTTCATCTTAAAATTCAAATTTAGCTGTTTACAAAAATCATTCAATGAATCAAAAGCAGAGTAATGAGAGATCAGATATGAATGAAAATGATAATACAACTCCTTTTAATTTTAGCAGTGAATAATCCAAGATTAACTACCTTAGTCATGATGAGAATAAAATTTAGCCAACCTAAAATGATCACCTATCAAATGGTTAAATGAAAATGGGAGAGTTATTATAAAAGCCAAGCGTGTAAACTATATCTTACAATTACTCTCCAGAACTCAGAAGAACCAATGACCCCATTTTAGTATAATAAACAAGTCAAAGCATGAAAACTATAAGATTAAATAGCCCATAGTCATTATCCCCCACAACCAAGAAATCAAATATTAGCACTTTAGAAGAGAATAATATTGAACTATAATCGAAATCAATAGGCTAATCTCTAACTGAACGCTTGAATATCATAAGCAATGATAAGAAAAATAAATTCAGCAATGCAGCAAATGCCACTGCTATACAAAGTATAATCTATAACATCAAGAAAAAGGAGTAAAAGTGCATCTGCAAAAAGAAGGATTCTAGTGATGAATCAGCTTAATCCTCTAGGAGGTAGAGTAGAATGTAATATGGAGTATAATCTACTTTAGTCACTCCTAGCAGGGATGAATCTCATTCTATGATTTAATAGGAGGATGGGATAGATTTCATGCAGTAAATTCTACCTTGTTCTGAATATTGCTAAAAAATGGAGCCTACAAAACAAAAAGAAATAATAAAAGACCTTATGAGAAAAGACTATGGGCAAGATTTGAAACTTTTCACTAATAGAGGTGATGAAGGATTTCCAAATGAAAGGAAATTTATTATAGAAGCCAAATGGTGGAACAGATGGTGTGATTACACTGGTTTCGAGATGATTTAATCATAGTAAGATGAAAAATCAATAGAACTGTAATTAGTATCAGAAAATAGATTATACGAGTCAATAGATCAAGATGATTCAAAATCAGTAAGAGCAACGAGTTTAGTATTCCAAATAGAGAAAGATAAACCATAGAATAAATAAAATACTTCAAAATCATCTGCTAGATATAATGATAGATACAGTAAGAGCAAAAGAAATACATCAAATGTACAGAAAAGCAAAGGGAACTCAATCATCTAACTTTTGGATTATGAAAAGAAAGAATTAAAATACAGCTAGAATCTTGAAATGCTAAGAGAAGAGATTAATAGAAGAAAAAAGCCACTTCTAAATGAAACATAAAAGTCTATTAATAATTTGTAAGAATAGATAGCCAACAGTAGAGAAAGAGGAAGATCTGAATAAAACAAAATATAAGAAGTAGAATACTAACATCCAGGTAAAATGAAGAACATGAGACTGATTGATGAATCTACCAGCCCAAATTAGCATTCAATTGAAAACACTACCATCTCACTTAAGAGTAATTTAATGGAACATCATGACTATGAAGCAGTCTCGACTGATATTTGGAAATACATCTCATCTTGGTATAAATTTGATATTCCTATAACTAGATACCTAATTTTCGATAGCAAGACATAGAAGACTATGCTTGACCTATACCCTAAATAACCTTTTTGATTGAATTAAATATACTTAACAATGAATTTAATTAATTATTTGAAGGAATTACTTATTCACATAGAATTAGGTTTCTTTATTTTGAACTACTGTCATTTTTCTAAATATAGTATATATCAGTCATCTTTTTATGAATTTATTTCACAGCTAATTTGATTTTCATTTCCATTTCACTTCAATTGTTGTTGCTTCTCAATCCATCGCTTTAAAACCTCAATAATTTAGGCATTTTGACATTTTTCAGCCATTGTAATAACACTTTCTCCCTCTGCTGTCAGTAATAATGGATTAGCACCAGCATTTAAAAGTATTTATAGACATTCAGGTTTGCAAAACATCACGCATTTATGGGCTGCAGTTTCACCTCCTATTGTTTATAAATCCAGCTGCAACTTATCGCCTGCTTTCAAAACCAAACTCTATATTGCCTAAATATTGCCAGAAGCAGCAACCATGTGAATAGGTGCTCTACCGTACTAAAATAACTAATGTCAGAACATATCAGCATAATAAAATTTCTTGCAAAATTGAGCTACTTACAATGTCTTAAATATTTGGATTAGCTCCGTTTTTTAAGCATACTTCAAGCAGCTAGTCACTCTTGCTCTCGTAAACTATTGAACATATTAGATGCATTGCAGTCATTCCAAACTAAATTTTAATCAGCTATCTATTTCAAATACATCATTGATTGGTGTGTCTGGAAGTATCTGTTAAGAGCTATATAATTGTTGTAGCGACTCTTAGTCTTCTTTATAAATTGTTTCTAATATTTTTATTAGCATTACTATATTTAATTTTATAAATCAAATTAATAAACAAAAGATTATTAGAGACAGTGATTTACTTAACGTTAATTTCGATTATCTAATTTTTTTATATTCAGTTTTATGGGGTTTTGGGGTTTTGGGG